GATCAAGGGCAAAATGGGAGTGTTTGAATGGACGGCCGATATTGACCTCTTGATTATGGATTGTTTATTAGTCAATTGGATGCCTTAACGATTTCAGAATTAAATGATCTTGGGCTCTTTGGATTCGTCTCGTCAAGCCGCTCGATTTGACTATAAGCATGACACATTTGAAAACTGTTTGATAATCCAAATTGTGGTTTGAACCCTTCAACAGCTCTTCATCCCCTTGATTTGGACCCATTTGGGCTCGGATTGAGTCGAATTTGGTGTCGATGGGTTTGTCTTTCTGAGACGTCCAGTTTGACTATAACTTTGCTGAAATCGGAGCTCAGATGGTGTTTGATTTAATTTTGGAAGCTTTCAACTCAATTTTGCTTTGAGATTCGTGCCTGATCAAGATAATTTTTTACTGATATATCAATATTTAAAATAATTTTGAAAATGAAATAATAAATTTTGAAGATATTTATGTGAAATATAAAGACTTAAGATGATGAAATGAAAATATTTATAATAATTAATTTTTTTTAGGAAACATATTACTAATATACCAAGTGTCATGAGTTTAATGAGGTCTCAATGAAAAGTGCATTGGAACATTCAATTATAAATTCTTTTATTTTTTTATTTTGAACAAGACATCTTCTCTTGTACACTTAACCTCTAGTAGCTTTGCTAAAGTATCTTCTTGCCACGAATTATAAGTTCCCCCATCCCTTTGGCGGCATGTTTTCTATCTCACTTTCTATTTCTTCTCTTTCTTCCCCTCGCTTGGAGGTTTTATCCACCTCCATCCTTGCCTCTTATTATTGTCAAACGGCGTTGTTTTTATATGAAAACCCACTCTATCTTTCAAAGCTTCCTCTAATATTTTAAGTTGCTCTGAACTTCTCCATAAAGCTTTAATTTCTAGCTCCTTTGATATAACCATCTCATTCCTCGATGACATGGAAATCTCGATTCAAATATCAATGCATTTCTTCTAACATAGCCCCTTTTCCCAATCTTTAAATCTTCTATTAAGGCCTCAATCCTTAGAGCAAGACCTCCAACAACAAGAAATAATCTAATCAAACCTTTTTTCTTTATACTAACCCACTATTTGCCATTAATATAATATAAAACGGCCTTGTCCAAGCTCATGAAGCCAACTCACCCTTCAACTTTGTGAATGATACTAATGAGGATTCATCTTTTCTAATGATGTGATCTCTATTAAAAACAAGGATTAAGGTTTGGCTATGTTTGA